TGTTGGCTACGGCAGAAGCGGTAGGCATTCGTCTGCACAAACCCCCTCTGTGTGCCCAAAAACAATTTGTGCAAGCGCTTAAGCTTCCCTGGCCCACCCCCCATACAAACCGCATCGTGAGTAATCTCGATGGTCGGATGAGTGGACAAACAAACATGTGATCGTGGTGAACCCGATTTCCGGTCTCACGATGAAATCGGTTTTAGTAATCTGTGTTTATTTTATTTTATTTTCCCATGACAATTTATTTTGAACTTCACTTTCTATTGTAGCTTTCTTAGCTCTCCTGTTTCGCGATTTGAATTGGCGTGACCTTGGTTGTCATGACAAAAATGGCAGTAGTCCAAAAGTTACTGTTTAAAATTAGAAATCATTTGGTGCAGAGAAGCACGGACGTCTATTCTTTTTAACCAATGAATATTATTCCATGAGGATGTTAATTCTGCTCCATCCGAGTACTTTAAATAGCATACCTTTTTCTATACAATGCAAAGTAATTATACAGTTAAATTATGATATATCATCAAAATTTATTCGAAAATATATGTGGCTACAAACTGCACCCGCAAAATCTCGCATCAAGAAGGAAGTAAAAAAATATTTCATGGAACGTGAAATTTAACCTTGAGGTGTGCGGCATGTCGAATATTCATTTTGTGTTGTCACCATGTCCAAACCGGATGATAAATCCAAGAGTTTCCGATACACAAGTGAAGAAGAGAGGGAACGCATGAAAACAGCGTATGAATCCGGCGTTTCAGTTGCTGATCTGTGCAAATGTTTCAGTGTGAACAGAAGCACAGTTTTCCGTATAACTCACGGAATTTCTCCATTGTGACGTCCTTGTGTAAGAAGAAAACCGACCACATCGAAACAGGACAACAACTACCTAAAGTTGCAGCTCAAATGGAATTGTAAGAAACCAATATCCAGTATAGTACGAGCAGATTTACTGGAATTTTCGTATGCCATCGTTAGGAAAACGATGGCTATATTCGACCTACAACTCAGATCAGCTGATGTGAAGCCACCACTGAACACCAAACAAAGAAAGGCACGTGTGAATTTTGCCAACGAATTCAAATCGCGTCGCCTGTCCTTTTGGCGTTCAGTTTATTTCACTGATGAATGTCTGGTGGCTGACGAGCAAGACACCAGGTGGAAAAAGCTAATCTGTGGACCTAGTTTTCCGAAGAAATCCATTCCTCCGCTTACTAAAAGCAAATATCCTTCTCGCCTAATGATCTGGGTGGGGATTAAATACGGAGTATCTTGCCGTTGGGTTCCTGTACATGGTACAGTGGACAGTGAAAATTTTGCCTTACTGATCAAGGAAGTTTTCAGGGACTACCACTCTCAGAATGTCTCTTACAGGACAATGCACCATGTCATGTTTCA